CATAGAAGCAGGGGTCTACCACACTAGACAGGACCCAAGGTGCAGACTGTGCAGAGGTGCCTCAGAGACAGCCCAACACAGAGTGGCAGGTTGTAAGATGCAGGCAGGAACAGCATACACTGGACGGCACAACCAAATAGCTGGCTTTGTGTACAGGAACATCTGCACAGTGTATGGGCTAGGCCCTCCCAAGTCCAGATGGGAGATTCCACAGAAGATCCTGGAGAATAACAGGACTAAGATCCTGTGGGACTTCCTGATCCAGACGGACAGGCAGGTACTGTCCAGTCAACCAGACATCGTGGTAGTAGACAAGAACCAGAAGACAGCGGTGGTGATGGGACAGCAACATCAGGAAGAAGGAGTATGAGAAGCTGGAGAAGTACCAGGGCCTAAAAGAAGAACTAGAGAGGATGGGGAAAGTAAAGGCCAAAGTGGTGCCAGTGATGGTAGCAGTACTCGGGGCTATGACTCCTAAGCTGGGAGGGTGGTTCCAACAGTTCCCAGGAACGACTTCAGAGCTCTCTTTTCCAGAAGAGTGCAGTGCTAGGAACAGCTAAGGTACTGCACAGAACCCTCAAACTCCCAGGGCTCTGGTAGAGGACCCGAGATTGAGGAAGATGCATACCACCCATAGGGGTGAGAGGGGATTTTTTTTATAAATATATGGTTGAATTTTATATACTTTTTATATACTTTTAAACAGAGCTGTTAGCCTTTTTGAAAAACCAGCACAATGCAAAGACAGCATATTATTTTTAAAAAGCAAATATATGGGGCAGCGTTTCCTGTATTTTTTTTTAAAGATCTGGATCAATAAACTACTTGGATTGACCACATTCTCTATTTGGATTGGATACAACTTGATGACTGAACAACAACAACAATTGACCACATTCTCTATTTGGATACCTGTATACGAGGATCCTTATTTTCAACTTGTTGGCTTTCTTGGCTACCCGCTGTATTCTCAGGAATCTTCTCAAGCACCAGAGTTCAAAAGAGCCAATAGTCTTGCTATCCAGTTTCTTCAAGGTCCAACTTTGGCTTCATTCCATAGAGTATCACAGGTAGAATCATTGTCTGCAGAATTCTGATTTTTCTAGGTATAGATACATCATGGCATCTGAATAGCTCTTCTAAGACTTTCACTGCTACTCTACCAAGGGCTAGTGGCATATTTCTTGCCTGCTTGTTCATTTATTGATCCTAAAAGAGAAAAGTTACCTACTACTTTGACAATTTTAAGGGTGGTTCCTGTTCCTGTTGTGATTAGTTTGGTCTTCTTTATATTTAATATTAGTCCCATTTTTAAATGGTGGTCCTTAACTTTCATTGGCAGAGGTTGCATGTTATTCACATTTTGAGCTATTACAGTAGTACAAGTAGTCCTGGTTTAGTGACCACAGTTGGGACCTGCAACTTGGTCATTAAATGAAGCAGTCACTAAGTGAAACTGTGCCTGCGCTTATGATCTTACTTCAGCTTTCCTTTGCTTTACAGACCTGTGAAGGTCGTAAATATGAGGACTGGTCACAAAGTTACTTTTTCATCACAGTTGTAACTGAATGGTTGCTAAACGAGGCAGTCGCTAAATGAGGACTATCTATATCATTATCATAGGGCAGGTTATTGATGTTTGTTCCTTCAGTTTTAAAACCATGCTCATCTTCTTCCAATCTAGCTTCCCTCAATATATATTCAGCATGTAGGTTGCATAAATAAGGGGAGAGTATACATTCTTGGCTACTCCTTGTCAGCATGGAACAAGTGTGTTCTGCCATGTTTCTGCCCTGTGTATAAGTTTTGCATGAGGATAAAAAGATGTTCTGGGATTCCCATTTTCCTAAGGACATTTCACAGCTTGACATGGCTGACACAATCAAAGGCCTTTCTTACTGAAGCATATATTGATTTATTTTTGGTATTCTTTGACCTTCTCAATTATCCAGCATGCATCAGTAATAACGTCTCTTATTCCTTGGCTTTTCTGTAGGAGTAAGACTGTGCTAGAAATCATAATGTCCAGATTAAAATCTCACCCCTGTTAAAAATTCAGCTGATTTTGCAAAGCAGCCTCTCTGCCTATTTTTTTTCCATTTTAACATCATCCCTTTTGAACACTAAGCTCAACTGTAAGTTCAACAAGCTTGTAGTAAAAATGGGACCACAAGAATGTAGAAGAAAATACCAGCATGCTTGGGGGAGTCTAGATTGAAAGCACAAAAAAAAAACCTTTAATAATTAAGCTGGCCACAAATGGCCTTTCAAAACACTCCTTAAAATGGGCAGAAAAAACCACATTGACAATTTCTTCCCTGGAAGGAGAAATTCTTCAGTGATTTCTCAAAGGCAAAGCCCCATGAGAGTTGTTCCCTCACAAAACCTCCCCTTGGGATTTATGCATTTGGCATATTTTCTGGGTGGAAAACAATACATGTACCCCATGATAGTACAGAAAAAATGGAATAAGCTTCCTTCTACATGTGAAAAGAATATAAATCAACAACTATTTTAATATTCAATTCATTTGTCACAAATCTTTAAAATATCTGCAAGGATTCTAAAAGTTCACAACCATTTCCAAAAGTGCTATTCTGAAACTAATAGACACAGATTTTAAATGAAATTTGTTTTGGAGAAGTGGATGTTGCTCAAATGAATAAAATTCAGGCACGGTTCCAGCCATTGATGAGGCTGCAAACCTGTCATTGCAGATGCACTATCTGAATTAATAAGAGACCTAGCAAGACAAAACAGATGGTGAAAACTGAAGGAAATTGGCTACATGTAATTTGGATATGGAATCACATTTCTGAAAATGTTCAAGAACAAATTCAAAAAAAGGAAGGAAGGAAGGAAGGAAGGAAGGAAGGAAGGAAGGAAGGAAGGAAGGAAGGAAGGAGCAGCAAAGGAGCACACAATGCTATAATATCTTCTGTCAGCACGGGGGGGGGGGGGGGGAGCAATCTAAGGCCCCCCGGCAGCACGGGGCCTCCTGCTGCTTTTTTCCATGCCCAGAGCCCTCGCCAACTACAATGACCCAAAACCAAAATCAATGGTAGGTTTTCTAGCATTTTCAGATAGGAAACATGAAAACTGTACAGTAAACCCTAAAACAGACTTAACACAATTAAAAAAACACCTCTCCCCTACTAGAGAAAAAAACCCTGTTAAGGGCAGCCCTGGTCATCAAAAGATAGCCAATACTGGAGTTTTCACATGCTAGCAAGGTTATGCTCAAAATCCTACAAGCTAGGCTTCAGCAATACATGA